TTTGTCCATTCTCCACCTATATTCTGAGCTTTATCTCACTTGTTGGTGATTTTTGCTTCTAAATCTTTAAATGCATTCAGCTCATTTTGACAGTTTAGCTTAGTTTCAGCTTCACATCAGCTATTCATCAACTTCAGCAATCAGTTACAAAATTTAGCATAAGCTGCTAATTTCACAGTTCAGATAAATGTAAAGACTAAACTGTTAAACTTGTCCAACTGAAATAACTTGTGTTTAGACATTTTAGCCGTCCAGATTTTTATACAACGTTCACAGATTTCAGTTTTTGCTATTTAGGATTATTTTTCTCCATTCTTTACTTACTGTGGGTGCTTTATTTGCTTGTTAGTGAGTTTTGCTTCTACATCTTTCAACACCCTATCTCTAAGGCTGGGCCTGGCCACCCTATGGAGGATACTCATTTCGGCCGCTTGAATTCGCAATTCCCATACTCCTGGAGCGTCCCCCACAGGGTGCCCCTGGGGACACGGTCATAAGCCTTCTCCAAATCCACAAAACACATGTGGATTGGTTGGGCAAACTCCCATGCCCCCTCCATCACCCTTGCAAGGGTATAGAGCTGGTTCGTTCCAGTTTCACGGCCAGGACGACAACCACATTGCTCCTCCTCAATCTGAGATTCAACTATTGATCGGACCCTCCTCTCCAGTACCTTGGAGTAGACCTTTCCAGGGAGGCTGAGGAGTGTGATCTCCCTATATTTGGAACACACCCTCCGGTCACCCTTCTTAAAGATGGGGACCACCACCCCGGTCTGCCACTCCACAGGAACTGCCCCGGATGACCACGCAATGTTGCAGAGACGTGTGAACTAGGGCTGGGGGTAAACGATTATTTTTAAAACGATTATTCTGACGATTATTTTATCGAATAGTCGACTATTCTAACGACTATTTATACAATTAATCTAATGATTATTTTTCTATTGCACAGTTAATAAAAACCAAAAAATCTCTAATAAATTCCTCCAAAAAATTGATTAATTGTTACTGTAAGAGAATAAACACTACAGGCCTCCCATTTTGTATAACACTGCTTTTATTGTGTTGGTTGGTTATGTTCTGGTGACGTGTAGAACTTGGGAGTGCAGACTGCTGCCTGAGAGGTGGTTGGAGACGGAGTGTCTCCATGCTGCTTTGTTTTGGTCACTTCTGTGCATGAGGCGAGTGGTGTTACGACTCTTCCTGGGGAGTTTGGCTCGTGTGCAAAAAGGAAGGGACAATAATGTGGGATTTAAAAGTTAAAATGATGATCAGGTTTATTCACAACTACAAAAAAACAAATCTTTCCATCCACAGGTTGGGAGTAATAAAACTAATTCTGCCTGTGGGGAATTAAAACAAAAGTACAGATAACTAGGGATGTCCCACTGGGCAAAGATTACAGGGTTTTGGACCAAAATAAGAATCTCCAAAGTTCCAAACTCTAAACTGGGCGGTTAAACCAAACTCAAGGTGATATTTTAAACTAAACCGAAAACCCACAACACTCTAAATGTAATAAAAGGGAGATTTTATTACATTTAGACATTTATTAATTTGTACCACAAATTATTATTTTTTATACGTGTTCAACATGTTTAAATATCGCTTGTTTAATTAACCAACATTTCTAGTGTACAGCGCCTTGTTTGGTTGTAATGCCTTGTGAATGCGCTTTATAAATAAAATTGGATTGGATTGGATTGAAAAAAGATGAACTCTAAACCAAAACGTAACAGCTTATCCAAACGCAAGAAGCTGTTAGCGAAGATGCTAACAGTAGCGTTACCAACGTTAAGTTCAAGTTACCAAGTTTAAATAAACCAAAAACACCCAGCAGCAAACAGACCAGCATGGAGGAGAGACTGCTACCACCAAAACAGCTCTCCTAATGTCTGAAAGAAGCTCCTTTATGAAGGGAGAAACGCTCCCGGTGATTTTCTGCATCTGCTACAGAGACGGAGCAGCGCATTTGACCCCGGAAGTTGTTGTCCGTTGCCGGGAAACGAAGGCGGGCAAAATAGGAAAGGAACCTAGTAGCGGACGGACGTTGTTCCGGGTCTTCGGTATTTGGCTGAGATGTTAGTGAAGGCGGAGAAGAGGGCGAACTAGAGGAAAAACAGGCAGATTCCACCTCTATTTACAAACTCCTGGGGATGCAACAAGTGGGCGCGGTGCGTCGACTACCGGATCTGACGTCGACGAATTTTTAGAATCGAGCCGTCGACGTCATCGAGGCTTCGCTACAGCCCTAGTGTGAACCATGACAGCCCTACCACATCCATAGCCTTGAGATACCCAGGATGAATCTCATCCACCCCCGGGGCCCCGCCGCTGTGTAGTTGTTTGACTACCTCAGCAACTTCTGCCCCAGAGATTGGACAGTCCATCCCCAGGTCTCCCGGCTCTTGCTCCTCCTCGGAATGCACGTAGGTGGGATTGAGGAGCTCCTCAAAGTATTCCTTCCACTGCCAGACTATAGTCCCAGTTGACATCAGCAGCTCCCCATCCCCACTATAAACAGTGTGAGCGAGTTGCTGCCTCCCTGTCCTGAGGCACCGGACGTTTGCCAGAACGTATTTGGCGCTGATCGATAGTCTTTCTCCATGGCCTCACCAAACTCCTCCCACACCCGAGATTTTGCCTCGGCAACTGCCACTGCTGCACCCCGCTTGGCTATTCGGTACCCGTCTGCTGCCTCTGGAGACTCACAGACCAGCCACGCCCTGTAGGCCTCCTTCTTCAGCCTGACGGCTCCCCGAACCTCTGGTGTCCTCCAGCGGGTACGGGGGTTGCCACCACGACCGGCACCAGCCACCTTGCGACCACAGCTAGCAACAGCCGCCTCAACAATCGCAGAGTGGAACAAGGCCCACTCTGAGTCAATGTCCCCCACTGCTCTCGGGACATGGTCAAAGCTCTGCCGGAGGTGGGAGTTGAAGACCGTCTTAACAGGTTCTTCTGCCAAGTGTTCCCAGCAGACCCTCACTATGCATTTGGGTTTGCCAGGTCTACGTGACATCTTCCCCTGCCATTTGATCCAAATCACCACCAGGTGGTGATCAGTTGACAGCTCCGCTCCTCTCTTCACTCGGGTGTCCAAAACATACGGCCGCAGGTCAGATGATACGACTACAAAGTCTATCATCGACCTGCAACCTAGGCTGCCTAGGTACCAAGTGTACCGATGGGCATCCTTATTGTCACGATGCGGACGGGGGGTTTGGACCCAAAGTGCAGAAGTCCAGAACACACAGGCAGGAGAGGTTGAAAAAACATAAAGTCCTTTATTTTAGAAAATAATCCAAATCCAAAGAAAGAGAGGCAAAAACCTAACCACTAAACCAAGACTAACAAAAAGCTCACTCACTGAGCAGGAAACCAGAGACTAGTACGGAGGGACAAAACAACGCTGACATAGACAATGGACCGACAAGTCAGAGTGACAAGACAAGGCTTTCATAATAAAAGAGGAGCAATTAGGGAAATGGGCAGCAGGTGTGTGGAGTGAGGGCTGGAGGGAAAGCAGGTGAATAATATTATCTAAATGGGGAACAGAACCAGAGGAGGGCAGATAAACCTAAAACTATAAAACACAAAACTAAAGACTGAGGGCCAAAAATAAACAACTAATGACTAGACGGATAAGGAGGACTAAATAAAGATAGATTAGGAATGGGGAATGATTAGAAAGACACCTGAGGGAAGTCTACAGAGGGCTGGGGATAATAATGGGACACAAGAGGAAAACCTGGAGTGGGAACTGGAGGGGCTGGGGAACAAAGGGACACAGAACATGACACTTATATTCGAACTTGGTGTTCGTTATGGCCAAACTGCTGCTTGCACAGAAGTCCAATAACAAAACACCACTTGAGTTCAGATCAGGCGGGCCATTCCTCCCAATCACACCCCTCCAGGTCATACTGTCATTGCCCACGTAAGCATTGAAGTGCCCCAGCAGGACAATGGAGTCCCCTGATGGAGCACCATCTAGCACTCATCCCAGGGACTCCAAAAAGGGTGGGTACTCTGAATTGATATTTGGCCCATAAGCACAAACAACAGTCAGGACCCGTTCCCCGACCCAAAGGCGCAGGGAAGCTACCCTCTCGTCCCCCGGGGTAAACCCCAACACACAGGCAAAGAGTCATGGAGCTAACAAAAAGCCAACCCCAGCCCTCCGCCTCTCACCCGGAGCAACTCCAGCAAAGGAGAGTGTCCAACCCCTCTCAAGGATTTGGGTTCCAGAGCCAATGCTATGTGTCGAGTTGAGTCCGACTATATCTAGCCGGTACCGCTCAACCTCTGCCACAAGCTCCTGCTCCTTCCCCGCCAGTGAGGTGATGTTCCATGTCCCAATAACCAGTTTCCTTGTCCGGGGAAAGGACCGCCAAGGCTCCTGCCTTGGTCTGCCATCCGATCCACACTGCACTGGACCCTTCAGCTCGGACATTCGGGAGGGACTCGGAGTAGAACCGCTGCTCCTCCGGATCAAAAGGAGTCAGTTGAGGTGGTTTGGGCATCTGGTCAGGATGCCTCCTGGACACCTCCCTGGGGAGGTGTTTCGGGCATGTCCTGCCGGCAGGAGGCCCCGGGGTTGACCCAGGACACGTTGGAGAGGTTACATCTCCAATATGATCCGGGAACGCCTTGGGGTCCTGCCGGAGGAACTGGTGGAGGTGGCTGGGGAGAGGACGGTCTGGAGCTCCCTAATAGGGATGCTGCCCCCCCGACCCGGACCCAGATAAGCAGAGGAAGATGACGACGACGATCTTTCAACACATTCAGCTCATTTTGACAGTTTTGCTTAGTTTCAGCTTCAGTTCAGCTTTTCAGCAGCTTCAGCTTACAGTTTCAGCTATCCAGCATTCAAACAGCATTTCTGCAAGAAATGCAATTTATCTAGTTCATTTTATTTTTTGGTGATGTAAACAACACAGAGCAGTTGAAGTAAAGAATGGTCACAGGTACTATCAGTAGAGCATCCCTACTCACCTGTTTGATGGCATACAGCAGCTTCCCATAGCACAGGACGATCACTAGAAAGGGCACGATGAAGCAGAAGACAAACAAGCAGATAATGTACGAAATGTTGTTGGCTGTCTTTGCCGTCCAGTCGACAGAGCAGGTGGTTCCAGGACCCTCAGGACCATAGTGGCTCCAGCCAAAGAGTGGCGGCAGTGTCCACATGAGAGAGTAAACCCAGGACAGGAGGATTCCCAGGGAGATCTTGCGGTAGTTGGAGGAGTCCGCCTCAGCTGGGGTTACCATGGTGCTGTAGCGCTCATAGGAGAGGACGGCCAAGGAGATCAAGGACACAATACCTTCAGCAAAGACAAAATAAGCCTGTTTTAATTTCAACGTTCTGCATGCATATGAGCACATCATCAAACTACTGCACACAACTGAGCTGGGTGAGACAGCAGACTGTTTTGCAAGTTTGCCCTTGTCCATAAACCTGATAGCATAGCCTGTCCAAGTGCTTTAAATGCAATATAAAAGTGATGAAACTGTTAGATCAGACTCAGTGCTCAAATGAGCTTCATGCTGCATCAGTTCACACAGAGAGCTGGATATAGGAGCAGCACATTATAGCCATTGTTTCTTATGCTGCACCTTCTGCTCTGGAACTGCTCAGTCTTTAAAGTTGCTTTAAAGCTTCTTTCTGGAGTATTTCTCTCATCCAATGGCACATCTAGTGGCTGACAAGCTTATCACACAAAACCGCTGTTCCTCTGTTTTTTTAAGATGGCGACCACGTTTCTGTTTATAAATGTGCTTCTGTAGCTGACAAACACAGCTAAAACTTGTTGTTTTATGAGTATTATTCTCATGTCATGTTGTGTTTTCATATATTTATATTTTAGAGACTTTCTTGTCCGTGAAAAGTTCATCAACTCTGCATCAGCCGAGGTATTCCTTAAATTTGAAGCATGTAAGCGATAGTCTAACGCCATTGGTTAGTTCTGGTTGGCGCTCAGTTTCCTATTGCACGGAGGTCTGCGGGGCAGGGGGCATGCTTAGCAAAAAAATAAATAAAAATAAGACGAATTGCTTATATTATATCACAGTATATGATAAAATAATCACTTTTATGGATTTCTGACAAATCATACATACTTTCTGAAAGAGGAAAACTCCGGAAAACAGCTTTAACAAATGTGGAAAACAAACCAGCTTAACAACATTCTAACATAGTATAGCTATAAATACATTGTGGAGATAAAAATAATAAATGAAAAATATTAAAGTGTTTCTCTTGCTTTTGTCCAAGCTTTCGGTCAACAGACCTTCATCAGGAATTGTTCCTCTTCATTCCATGATTTATCGTGCACCTCAATCCGGATGAGCGGTGTTTTTTTTTTTCATCTCTTGCTTTTGTCTAAAAAGATCTACCCATAAATATCAACTGTGGGACCATTCGGTTGTCGGTCTTACTAAACCGTCCTATTTTTCTGTGTCTTCACACATTACACACTCACATATTTAGCAACAAAACACCCTTAAGTAAGAGCTTATCCGCTCAATATTATCAGAGAAGGAGAAACAGCCGGCTGCTACCACTCAGAGCCCGAATCTGGGAGGTCTTTCCCAGAGTCGGGCTCGAAGTGCTCTGTGCCTCCTTCCTGAGTGGCTGATGTGCACCTTAAGGGAGACCAGATTACCAGAAACACTGTCCCACGTTGCTGACAGTTTTCAGTTAGGTTAGTAAGATCAAACCAATTTTAAGGCGGGGGTGGTTAACTGCTTTTTTGCTGTTAAAATATGACGTTTCAACCAAGCACTGTGTGCTTTTTATGTTACAAGTGTCTTTAAAAAACACATGTTTAATTTATTATAAATTATATTTACATTTCTCTCCTCCTGCTCCATCACATCATCACACAAACATACACATAGGACCTTGGGGGGTGGACAAGTTAGGGAGTGCAGGTATGGACCCCATTTCCGCAATCCTGCGGCAACCTGCCACTCACTAACACCATATTGGAGCAGGCGGAGGGAGACTAGGGGTCTTAGCACACCTCTGTTGTCGCTTGGCTTCCTGGGGCTGGAGGCTAGGAGGGAGATCCGGCCATCCGGTTGGGGTCTGGGGTGGTGGATTGCTGTGCTCAGCGTTGTGCGGGGGAGCCTGCTCATCACCACCCCAGCAGAAAGGGTCGAACTCTTGGAACCGGTAATGGTTGTAGCCCATGTGCAGCAGTACCGGGACCAGAGTGAATAGGGTGTGTATGGGGAGCATGAGTGGGTGTCCGGCGTGCATTTTTGTAAGCCTTTGGTTGTATGTGTATGTGTGAGCATGAGGGAGGGAGTGTGTGACTGTGTTTGTGTATGACTGTGTATGTCAGGTGGGGCCTCTGACTCCTCCCTTCTCCTGGGACTTCTTTTGGTGATATAGATCTTCGTCTCCCCTCCCCCTGCCACACTTGGTGTGGAGTCCGGTGCCTTGGTCTGCCTGGGTTGTGGCTCCCGGCTCTGGGAGTTTAAGATTTTTGGCGTCTGCCTGAACAATCCCGGTGGCTGCCTGGTGGGGTCTGGGTCCCTGGGCTCTGCTGGGTCCCCAGCGGGGGTGGTCGTCCCTGGGTCCCGGGTCATTGGGTCCCGGGCTCGGGCGGCTAGGGGGTGGGAGACTGCAGGAGGGCCTGTGGGTTTGCCACCGATTTCTCCCGGGACTCTGCCGGCTGCTGGTTGTGGACTCCCGGGGCGATCCTCTGCGCCTCTCGAGGGGAGCGGGGGCTTTTCTGGTCACAGTCTCCCTGGAGTTCCTGCGCTTTGCGGCAACTCCTGGATCTCTGGGACTTGGAGCTCCCTCCATCTCCTGCACATCTTTAGGGGCAGATCTGTGGCCTCTCACACTCTCTATTGGACACTCCTATAGAGAAACCTTACATAAACAAGCGCGTATACACACACACAGGTGCTCACATGGTGCTCTCATAAGTATGGACTTGGGCACGTTCAACACATGTCTTAAGGCTATGGTTGGCACTAAATGCACTGTGATTTATTATCGTGTGATTGTTCAGTTAAACAATGTTGATTATATATTTCTTCATCAAGTTGTCACAGTGATAGCTCGCTCCTGTTGTATTGTTGTTGTGTCCCATTTTTTTTGTTTTTTCTGCTTTTTTTCTTCTCTCTTTCTGCAGGTCTAGAAGCAGATTCTTGTTCATTATTGTTTATTTTTGTGGAAACAAACAAATGACCACTAATCCAATTTTAAAAATCCCATTCTACCATGAAAAGCGAGGGGAAATTGCCTGTATATTTAAAGAACCTCTTAAGGTGGTTTTCTGGGAGCACTACTCAGCCTAGAACAGCTACAGCGTAGTTTGAGTCAGCCCATGTGAATGTAGTTTTGTTTCCATGACAGTAAGTGGGTGCACCCTAGGTGTGTGTGTGTGGGTGGGGGGGGTGTCAGTCACAGAGGGGCGTGATTTTTACTCATGACAAAATAACATGAGGTAATCAGTAAACAGTGTAAGGTTGCCTGTATGCTCCACAGAAACACAACTCAGCTGGAAAATGTTGGTGTTGCTGGACATTTTGCTAAGTTTTATGGCTTGTTGTCGATCTAAACCAGGCAGTGAAACAGAAACTCCGTAGCAACCAGTGACTCCGCCCCTAGCCCATCAGGGGCCAGAATCCGGCCGACTAAGCCTTGCCAGGTGCCGCAACAGAGCAGGGACTACCAAGTTGCTCTTAGTGGTGTTCCTGGAAAACCACCTTTACAATCCTAGAACCCTCCCAAGGGCTTTACAACACAACAGTCACACATTCACACTCTGATGGTGATGAGCCATGCTGTAGCCACAGCTGCCCTGGGGCTCACTGACAGATGAAAGGTTGCCACACAATCAGTGGCAAGGAGAGTGATGTGTCTTGCTCAAGAACACAATGATTGTGAGACTGAATGGGGTGAAAACCTGCAACCCCGTGGTTACAGGGCGGGCACTTAACCCCTCTGCCACCGTTCCTTTTTCTCCATACGGAAACTTTACACACTTCCTACAAATGAGCATCACTCAGTGTTTCCCCTGACAGCTCAATGCACATCTATAATTGTCACGGCCTGAGGTATATTATTCTCCAGACTAACCTCTTTCCTGCAGGTGGGCGGTGTCGGAAAGCTGCCCGGCTGCAGCCATTCAGCTGCAATCACCGGCTGGTATAAAAGGAGCAGTCTGAGACCTACACGACGTCGGATGATTAACTCGTTTGGGTCCACGACCAAATCTCGAGCTCTCTTTGTGATTTTTCGTACTTCTAGTGATCGCTAACTTTCCTCAGCAGATATTCACTCTCACCACCTCTCCAGCCATAACCTAAGGATTTTTACCTACCTCGTCTCGTTCTGCTCTACCAGCCGGCTCTCCCACTCGCTCTCACCCCCCACCTGCCTCGCTCAATGTCTTGGGAAATATTATCTCCATTACTCGCCTTCAAGATCTGGACCCTGCTTCAGCTCCCCTCCACCTCAGGCCTGACCCACTCCCTCCTCAGCATCTACGGATCTCCTCTCTAAAGTAAGACTGTTTCAATTTGCATCAATTCCTCTCCCATTACCAGCTCCTCATCTCCCTGATCTTTTTCTCCCTTTAACGTCAGAGCTTCCTCGACAGTGACTCTCCGTTCTCATCATTGTTTAATAAAAATTTTTTTCTTACCTTCGTCTCCGGCTCTGATTCTGCATGTGGGTTAGAAAACTGAACTCCGACGTGACAGAATCATCCGACCAATCAGCTAACCTCGCAGAATCTGTGCCGCCTCGTATCTCCGAAACTCTCCGCGAACATGACTCCACACTCCGGACTTTACTTGAACAGTTGTCCCTTACTAATCAGCGTCTTCACAATTTAGATACGGCAGTCTGCCGTCTCCATGAGCAGCGTCCCGCTCCACTACCTCCGGTTCCTGATCCTGTGTCTCCGGTTCCAGCCTCGTCACCACTTCCTGCTCCCGTACTGTTCCAAGTAGCCGAAGCCACGCCCTCGATGACGTACGAGGGAGACCCAAGTCAATGTTTAGGTTTTCTCCTACAACGTAATTTGGCTTTTGGACGTACGCCCACCTCTTTCTCTTCAGATCCGGCAAAAATTTATTTTATCATCGGGTTACTTAGGGGTCGAGCCTTACAGTGGGCGGAGACAAAAAGCCGGAACCCAAGTTTTTTACAAGGGCCGTTGGAAGAGTTTATTAAGGATTTTGAATGAACTTTTGGGGCTGTAGAGCAGCGTTCTGACGTTTCCAGGCAACTCTGACACCTCTCTCAGGGACAGCAGTCTGTTCCTGAATTTGCATTACGTTTTCGTACCATCGCCGC